GTGAGATACCACTTCATACCCACTAGGATAGCTACCATTTAAAAAAAAAAACAAGTGTTGGTGAAGATGTAGAGAAATTGGAACACACATACATTGCTGGTGGGAAGGTAAAGTAGTGTACCCACTGTGGAAAACAGTTTGGAAGTTTCTCAGAAGGTTATACATAGAATTACCATATGACCCAGCAATTCCACTCCTAGGTATATACTCAAATGAATTGAAAATAGGTATTCAAGCAAATACGTGTACACACTTCTTAGTTATCTAGTGCTGCTGTAGCAGAAATACCGCAAGTGGATGGCTTTAACAAACAGAAGTTTATTCTCTCACAGTCTAGTAGGTAAGAAGTCCGAATTCAGGGTGTCTCTGTCGGCTCTGGGGAAAGGTCCTTGTTATCAATCTTCCCTTAGTCTAGGAGCTTTTCACCACAGGGACCCCAGTCCAAAGGATGCACTATTCTCCTGGCTCTTGTTTCTTGGTAGTACAAGGTCCCCATGTCTCTCTGCTCGCTTTTCTCTTTTATATCTCAAAAGAGATTGGCTTAAGACGCAACCTAATCTTATAAATTTAGTCCTGCCTTATTAACATAACTGCCGCTAATCTGACCTCATTAACATCATAGAGGTAGGATTTACAACACATAGAAAAATCACATCAGGTGACAAAATGGTGGACAATCAGACAATACTGGGAATCATGGCCTAGCCAAGTTGATACACATTTTTTGAGGGACACAATTCAATCCACAACAACACGTTTATAGTGTTACCGGGTGGAAACCCCAGGTTCTTGCTCAGCATGACTCGTATTGGCCAATAAACGGGAGACCGAGGTGACAGCACCTTTATTTTATTAAGCAAGGGAAAGGAGTCAGTCAGAGCTGCTGCTGCCAAGACTGCTCCCTGAGGACAAGGAGAAAAGTTACTTTTAAGGGGTTTACAAGTAGGGAGTTCATACAAGTTATGTCAGCAACATTCTTAACCATACTACGCAGGCAAATGGGATTTACATAGAAGTTCTGAGCAAAGAAAACAGCATTTTAACGCAAAGTTGTGGGGCAGGAAGCCCAGCAGAGTAAACAGGATTTTTAATGCAACACTGAAGGGGGAGGGGGGGGAAGCCAAGCAAAGACAGCAGGACTTTAATGCAAAGCCACTTAAAGCTCTGCCTTAATAGAAGCACCACTTACAATAGCCAAAATGTAGAAACAACCCAAATGTCCATCAACTGATGAATGGATAAACAAATTGTGCTAAACCCATGTAGTGGAATATTATTTAGCCATAAAAAGGAATAAAGTCCTGATACACGCTACACCATGGATGGATCTCAAAAACATTATGCTAAGTGAAAGAAGCCAGAGCACCAAGGTCACATATTTCTATTTATGTGAAATATATAGAATAGGTAAATACACAGAAACAGAAAGCAAATTAGTGATTATCAGAGGCTGGGGGGAGGGGGAGAATGGGATGTGACTGCTTAATGAATAAGGGGTTTCCTTTTGATGAAAATGTTTTGAAATTAGAAGTGATGGGTGCACAACATTGTAAATGTACTAAATGTCACTGACCTGTACACTGTAAAATGGTTAATCTTATGTTACGTGAATTTTACCTCAATTTGCAAAAAAAGAAAGATGGTGGGACAGTGATGTGGAATATACTGCAGCCAATGACCGTGATTTGTAAATGTGTATTTTCTGACACACTGATCGTTTTCTGATTTTTAAATCAGGTTGTAAATTTGAAAAAAGAAAAAAGACGGTGAGGAAATGAAACAGCAAGGTGGGGAGAGGAGAACAAGAAGAGAAAGAGGAGGAAGAGAAGAAGAGAAGGACAAAAAAGTGGGAGTAGAAAAGAAACAAAAGAAAAAGCTAGAGGGAAAGAAAAAGAAAATGGCAGAAGGGAAAATAAGAAAACATTAATTTGGCAAAAATTTAAAAGCTTGGTAATATCAAGTGTCAGTGGGGATTGTGTAGAAGTGAGAATGCAGAAGGATAGCTCTCCTTCATAACTTAACTGGTAGGAATGTAAACTGCCACAGCCACTTTGGAGCGCAATTTAGCAAAAGCTGATAAAATTTAAAAGGCCATACCCAGAGCTCCAGTTCTGGGTGTATACTCTAGGGAAATTATCACATATACACCCCAGAAATTATGCACACAGCATTTGTTTGTAATATCAAAATTATGGAAACAACCTAAATTCCTAGCATTAAGGGGATAGATACATTGTGATAAACTAATCATATTATAATATTATGCAGCCATTGAAAAGAATTGTGTATACATATAGATGGAAAAATATGAAAAGAGCTTCCAACTATTTTGTTGCCTGAAAAAGGCAGTTGCAGAATGCCACATATAGTTTGGTGCCACCCGCTATACATTGGTATACAAGATTATATTTGTGTATTACTTGTATTATAAAAATTGATAATAATAAAAAAAATGAAGGTTATAGAGAAAGAACTAGGGAGAATTATATTCTAGCTCCTAGAGCCACCCACCCATAGGTCCTTGCCACATGGATTTCCCCAACATGGCCACTTACTTCATCAAGCCAGCAAGGAGAGTTTCTAGAACAGGTCTGCCAACAAGATATACCATAATCACAAGACATATTATAAGCCCATTACTTTGGCCATATTCTATTTGTTGGAAGCAAGTCACAAGCCCCACAAGCATATGTTTGCTGCCTCTGAGGTTTTTAATTAAAAATAACCTGAATGTAATCCTTAAAACATTTTAATGTAAGTGACCTTTTCACTTCCCTAGCCATATTTCAAACAGACACACACATAGACAAGGGACTACGTTCACTTCAAATCAGATTTTCAACACTTTCGAGTAAATCCCTAGAATGAAGAGTAAGAGCAATGGCCTGGGAGTCAAGTGTTTCTAGCCATTTATATGGTGTAAATAATATGAGTATTCTTTGACCCTGAGTTCCAGCATCAATTAAAGGGAGTTAATTTTACCATGGAGCCCTGGTGGCACTGTAGTTAAGAGCTACGGCTGCTAACCAAAAAGTCAGCAGTTCAAATCTGCCAGCCACTCCTTGAAAACCCTATGGGGCAGTTGTACTGCGTCCTATAGGGTAGCTATGAGTCGGAATCGACTCGACGGCATCTGGTTTGGTTTTGGGTTTTGGCTTAATTTTACCATAGGAAGCCCTGGTGGTGCAACAGTTAAGCAGTGGGCTGCTACCCCAAAGGTTGGTGCTGTAAACTCACCTTGCCCCCTTTGGGTGGGGGTGGCAGGGAAGGCCTGGCTATATGCTGCAGTAAAGATTACAGCCTAGAAAACCCTATGGGGCAGTTCTATTCTATCATATAGTGTCACTATGAATCAAAATCAACTTGACAGCACCTAACAACAATAATTTCATCATCTATAGCCATTGTTTTTGCAAACCAGACATTGGTTACTCAATAAATGTTTGTTTCTGGAATCATTGTTACCTATACAGCTATATAAAATGAAAATGAGGGTGCTGAGAGAAGGGAGGAGACAGAAATCCATGAATAAGGTGTGGATTTCACAGGCCCCTCCCAAGGGGTGGAATATCCAATAGGCAAGATAAGCACAGTGCTTACCTTGCTTACCAGATCATTTTTAGTGAACAATTTCACATTTTTTCACCATATCAAAGATTCTGCTTCTAGTATGGCTGGCATCTGTCTCCCTCCCACCTCACAGCACCTTCCTACAGAATCAAAGCCTCTTTTCAAATTTACAATCCCTGACAGGGACAGACGACCCGGTAAGCAAGGTAAGCACGGGCTTACTTGTGTTTATTTACTAATCTGTAGTGAACAATTTCACAAGATGTGGTGAAAAATGTGAAATTGTTCACTACTGATTAGTAAATAAGCACAAGTAAGCCCGTGCTTACCTTGCTTACTGGGTAATCCACCCCTGCCCCTCCCCAACCAACACATAGTCTGGTCAACAAGACAAAACTTTGCTAATTTCCTGGGGGGAAACAGACTTCGTTTTTGCTTTAAATTGCATGCATTTGCTTATTGTTGTTAGGTGCTGGTGGAGTTGGTTCCAACTCATAGTAACCTTATGTGCAGCAGAGTGAAGCACTGCCCGGTCCTCAGCCATCCTCACAATCCTTATGCTTGAGCCTATTGTTGCAGCCACTGTGTCACTCTTTCTCGTTGAGGGTCTTCCTCTTTTCCACTGACCCTGTACTTTACCAAGCATGTTGTCCTTCTCCAGGGACTGGTCCCTCCTGATAACATGTCCAAAGTATGTGAGATGAAGTCACACCATCCTCGCTTCTTAGGACATTTAGGCTGTACTTCTTGGAAGATAAATTTGCTTATTACTGCTCTTGAAATTTTGGGGGAGGAAGTAGGGTCATTTGTATTTTTCCTCCTTTATGACAATGTCCTTTACCCATTTGCCTTGATTTGAATAAAGATATTAACCTTTCTCTGTCCTATAGGCTCAAATATTCCCATCTCCCGTGGTCTTTTGTTGCATTTTGGTGTGCGTGGTTTACAGTGTGGATGTGTGTGGAGGTGAGGGGGCAAACTAACTATATGGTAATCACGTGTATTTTCTGAAAGTCTTGTATTTGATTAAATGTAAATGTTGATTGGAAAAAGAGATGTTTAGCCTAGTATAATAGGGAGCCGCGTACACATCCGGAAACACGTCTTTGCAAACTTTGGTCCTCAGCGGTCGCTAGGTCTATCAGCAGTCCTGCAGCCCGGTGGCCGTGCCGCCTGCTCCCTGGGGGCTGGGGCTGTCCCAACCGAGAAGCGGCAGCTGCCTGCACCCGCCCTGCTGCGCCCCGGGGCGCGCGCCCGTGCCCGGCGTCCGCCCGCGTCGCCGCGCCGCTCTAGAGTCGGCTGCGGTCACCCTGCGCCCCGGCGCGGGGCGGGCGCGGGCAGTGTGGGAGGTGAGGGGCGCGCGAGGCCGGCCTTCGCGTCTTCTGCGCCGACCAGTCGAGGCCAGCGTACTCGGCTGCGAAACTTCTGCGGGCTCCAGGCCGGAACTCTGCACAGGGCCAGGAAAGGGAAGGTAAGAAGGGGAGCCCCGGGGGGCCGCGGCTACCGCCTTCCCGGGGTTATCTGCAGCCTTGCACCTGGCGGCTGCTTCGGGCAACTTTCGTCGTGCGGCTTCTACCGCCACCCTGCCCCGGGTTGGGGCTGCCAGTATGCCGACCCCAGGGAGCGCCCATGCTTCGCTGTCCTTGTCCGTGCTGTCGGCGCCGCCGCTCAGCTCTCGCCAGCCGAGAACCCTGAGGTCCGCGCGGCGCCGCAGGCAGCTCAGCGGGGCTGGGGGTCGAAGGCTGCGGGCTTCGCCCGCGCTGGCCTCTGGGGACGCGAGTCATTTGTCCTAGAGGTTCTGGGGCGAATCTTTCTCCCAGATCCGAGAACCTAGAGACGTCAAGACCAAGCCACTCCTGCCACTCTTGTCTCAGGCACCTTGGAGCCCAAGGGGCCAGATTTGCGAGGGAGAAAAGCTGGTCCAAGGGGCCCTGACTTCACCCTAGGGAAGTCCTGCCGTGACTGGTAGTTTCCCTTCTCTGGTCTGCAAAGGGACTGACTGGGGCCAGGGTTTGCACACGGGGTTGGGGCACAAGGAAGCTGCCCGCGATCCTCACCTAAATCAACCCCCGCTGACCTGTTTTCTCTGGTTGGGGTGTCCCCTGCCAAAAAATTTAAAACAAACAAACCAAAAAAAAAAACAGGGAAAAGAAAGAATTTTGAAAACCACTTAATTACCTCATCACCAAGGTCGGTTACAGTGGTAAAGTTTTTGATGGTCTGTATCTTAGGAAAAGATTAACGGCATTAACTGACATAGAGTAAGAGGGTTATGGCAAAAATTGTTTTACCCAGGAGATATTTGCATAAAGTGAGAAATAAACCAAACCTAAACCCATTGCGTTGGGTCTATTCCGACTCATAGCGACCCTACAGAACAGAGTGGAACTGCCCCATAGGGTTTCGAAGGCTGTAATCTTTACGAAAGCAGACTGCCACATCGTTCTCCCGCAGAGCGGCTAGTAGGTTCGAACTGCTGACCTTTCGGTTGGCAGCCCAGCGCTTAACCACTGCCACCAGGGCTCCTTAAAGTGTGAAATACTACATGTAAATACTAAATGAAAAAATAGAAGTAGAAGCCCACTTCTGAACACAATTTGATTTACTAAACTTCTTTCCTGACTTTCCATTCTAACTCTTGTATTATACTTAGGTATTCTGAATTTGCAATTGAGCTTGATGGCAACCTTAAAAAATTATTGCTGCCTATTCCTCCTAAGGTTTGGTGGCTTTTTTTTTCTTCTTCTACTTGTTTTTAATTCCAGAGACTGTTGCATGAAATCCCTGATGTGAGAGTAAAGTAACCTGGCATTGTTCTTTGTGGCAATAGAAAACCACAGACACTATACTGAACAAAACACATAAATGAAGATTGGATCTCAGTTTTCACATTTGCAAAATGAAGAGGTCTGGCTGATCTAAGTCTCTTTCCTGCCCTGTGAGTCCGTGTTTGTCTCTTGAAGAGTTTGGGATACAAGTATTAATTGCAATCTAGAGTAAGACATCACTTGTCCTAAAAATTTTATACATTTAAACTGGGAGACATTTGATAGTTGAGTTTCTTTAATCGTATCAGTCTCTCAGAATAGCTGAATCATTGTGCATCCTGTGCTTCTAAATGGTGACATTCTTTGCTGTTAAACGTGTATCATGGGAAACCAAAATCCCATACTTTTTACCACAAGACTAATAGGACTGACACATGGGAGTATTCACATCTGCATTTGGAACAGTCTCCAGGAAACATCAAGAACAGTTACAGTGCGTTTGCTGTAGCTTATGAGTATAATAACACATAAGGCTAAAAGTTTCAAAACTGCTTTGGAAAATATCCACAATAGATTTACAAGCCTGCGAACTGCATTTCAGATTTTTTTTCCCGGAATTATGGTTGTTAGTCATCTGGGATTATGTACTATAAGAATTTACCTCCAATTAATGAATCGTAATTTTTTTAAAAGGAAAATGTTTTCCTCCTTATGTTTTAAAGTAAAAGTTATAACGAGTATTTTCTAAATTTAAATAAATAACCCAAAAGTTGGTGACTTGAAGTACCTATAACAATGCTGGGCCCTCCTCCAACCCAGAGAATTCAGGGAGTAATTCACACAGGCCTTATTTGTGTTCTTCTACAGAAGTTAATAATAATCTTCAGTGGGTCTCAAACATTCTGAAAATTGGTGATGGGAACTTGTCATCAAGGGTGGGGAAAGGGTGTTTCTATGAAGGACAAGTAACAGGTTAACCCTACGGAAGGATCTGATATCCCTGAGCCTCATTTCCCACCCTGAACAATGCTGATCATAATACTTAGGCTGCAGAGTTGTGACTCCTAATTGGGTCCATGTTTGTAAGACCTAGTGCCTGGCTCATAGCAAGAACACAGCTAACTTTAGCTGTCCTTGTTTTCCTTGGAAAGTGTTTGTTTATTGACTGAATAAACTGTTGGCTGAACAACAGGTTACAGTTTTTTATTTTAATTTTAAAAACACTATGTGGTAAAACTTGATAATTATTGAATCTGGGTAATGAGTATACAGGGATTTATTATATACTATTTATTTTTGTGTATGTTTAGAGTTATTCATCACAAAAATTCTTAAGTGTGAATTTGAAAAAAAAACACATAAGAGACATTTGCAGTCCATCACTTCATTTTAAATTGCGTGTTTTTTAAATTAGTGAATATTTAAATATGGGCTAGAAGGATATATATAAATTATACACAGAGGTGAGTGGGCTGGAAATGGTACTGGAAAACAATCCATAGTGATCTTCAATGTTTTGTGTATGGAATGTTTTATTTCTTTTATTATAAAAAATCTAAACAACAATATGACAGTGTTGACATTTGTTAATTCTGGTTGTTGGGTTCATGGATTTTTATTATATTCTTTGAAATGTCTGTATTTAAACTTTTTCTAATTAAAATAAGGATCACCTTATTGTTTTATAAACTGATTAGAAAGGATTCAGACAATGCAGATATATACAAAGAACAAAGAAGAAAGTAAAAATAGTTAGGATTCCACCATCCAGAAATAACCATCCTTAACATTAAGATCACCCCATATGTCCTTCTATGCATTTATACAATAGAAGGATACGCTGATAGAAGGCAGAAATGCTATAACATTTCACTCTATTTCATAAACCTCCTTTTGGATATTATTTCATCTTAGTTTTATAACTAAATAAAATCACTGCTGATCACTGGACCTTTTACCATGATCTCTCATGTATTGACTTTTAAATTTTGATTCATCCTTTGACTGGTTAGATTATATGACCATGTAGTTTGTTTTTCAAGAAGGGTTCCTTTCCTGCATCATTTTATGTTTGAAAATGCCCATCTCTTATTCCTATACTTGAACTACTGTTTAACTGGTTGAAACATTTTTGAGTATAATTTCCTTCTCTCAGAATTACATAGCCCTTGCTCTGTTAGCTTTTGGCATTTAATTTGGCTGAGAAGTCTAATGCCAGCCTAAAATTATTCCTGCATGCAATTGACTTGCTTTTTCTGCCTAGAGTCGTAAAGATTTCTCTCTATTCTTGAAGTTTAGTAACTCAGCTAGGCTATTTCTTGGCTAAGTTCCTTATCAATTTTTTCATGGAACTTGGTGCATTTTTTTCTATTGCCATAATCAGTGCTCTTAATTTCAGGATTTTTTTTTCTTTATGATTTTCCTTTTCCATTTTGTGATTCCCTACTGCAAGAACACCAATTTTTCTTACATTGGCTTATCTTTGTTTTCCATATCTATTATCTATTTGCTGACTGTTTTAATTTGTCTGTATTCTTCTGCATTACCATGATTGTTTAAATTATTAAAAATGTAACTGATTCGTAAGTTAAGATGTAGCGCAGTATAAGCAGCAATAGGTCAGGAAGGAAGAGGTTTGGATTCTCACCTGTCCAAGTCTTTCTTAGAGAGGTTTCCTTGCTTCTAAACTGAGAAAATAACTACCTCTTTCCCCGCCCAGCCCCAGTATTTTCATAGCTATGAAATGACATATATACTTTGTGCAGGTTTGAAGAGTGGCTGCCCAACAGATGTGGTTGTTATTACTTACTTACTATACTTTTTTCTCCATTCAAAATGGCAGAGGGGTAGTGTTAAAATTCAAGTTCCAAATATATGTTACATTACAATTGTTCTGGAAGCCACAGTCCGTGAATGATAGATAGTTAGTTCTCTGTGTCTTCTGCTATAAGAGGAAATTAATCTCCAGAGAAAAAGGATATAAACAAAACCAAAAATTCTTTGTGAAAGGTCTGTTATAGGGTCAGAGCTTTGTTTTCTGTTCTTTGTATCTATTTTCAAATTTAAATGAAAAATCTTGGCAACTTATGGAAACCCACCAGCTACAGTGGATCATCCTGGACCGATACTTGGTCAGATAGGAAAGAAAGTTTAAGATGAAGATTCTAACTGCACAGTGAGGAAAGCCAACCAACCAACCAGTTGCTATCGAGTAGATTCTGACTCATAGAGACCCTATGTGTGTCAGAGTAGAACTGTGCTCCATAGTGTGTTCAATGCTGATTTTTTGGAAGTAGATTGTCAGGTCTTTTTTCCGAGACACCTCCGTGTGCATTCAAACCTCCAACCCTTCTGTTATCAGCCGAGCACGTTAACTGTTTACAACACCCAGAGATTCCATGGAGAAACATAATTCCTAATAAAGAAATTTTATTTCAGAAAGGGAATGTTAAATGCAAAAATGATGTATATGTGGTCATTTTAGTCTAGATTAATTTGACCTAATGGGTTTAGCAGCTCTGAGTTCCCAAAGTTGCAGACTGGCAGCCTGCAGCCATGTTTAGCTTCTGAAGTTTGACCTGCTCAGCGTTGGCTCTTACAGACACCAAAATCCAAACCAAACTCATTTCCTTCATGATGATACCAACTCATGGCGACCCTATGGGTTACAGAGGAGAACTGCCCCACAGGTTTTTCTTGGCTG